TTACTTGTCTAGATTTTTTTTTCTTTGGGAGGGAATAGAGTGCTGCCAAATGTGTTCTATTAGATAACTATGCTTCCTCCCTGCTCGACCCCCAGTTAGGGTCTACACTGCAATTAAAAATCTGCTACTGGCCCATATCGGCCTACTCGGGCTCTAACTGTGAGGCTATTTAATTGCAGCATAGATAGGGTTAGCCGTGGGGTTTAATTGAAGTGTAGACATACCTTTAGAAAACTGTAATGGAGCTCTACAGTAAGGATGTTAAAATGCGGTTAATTGACTAGTCGATTAGTCGATGGAATTTCCTTCGACTAGTCGATAGGCACTTCTGCATTCCTTCTTTGAAGTGTACAAGAGCCCCAATGGGGGCTCTTGTACATTTCAAAGGAGGAATGCAGAACTCTGCATACAGCCCGGGGTCAGTAGGAAGTCCCGCTGACTCCAGGCTGCGCGCGGTGTGCCTGCTTTGAAATGCATACGAGTCCCCAGTGAGGGGTTCTTGTGCATTTCAAAGCCATGGAGCCCAGGGTCAGCAGGGGACTCCCCAGCTGACCCAGGTTCTGGGGAAGTGCCGCATAGATCCCGGGATCACCTGGGGAGTTCCCAGCTTACCCCAGGCTCCACTGTGTCTTTGAAATGTGCAGAGGGGGCGCTTCTAAAAGGGCAGCACCACACAGCTGAGATCAGCTGTTCAGTGGCTTCACCTTTGAAACTGCTGCCCGTGCACCTTTCAGAGGGGCAACCGTGGAATCTGAGGGCAGCTGGGGACTCCCCAGCTGATCCTGGGCTCCCTGTGGCATTTCTCCGGAACCTGGGATCAGTGCCCAGCTGATCCCAGGTTCTGGGGAAATGATGCTGGGAGCCTGGGATCAGCTGGGGAGTCCAGCTGACCTCGGGCTCCACGGAGGCCCCTTTGAAAGGCGTAGAGGCGGCATTTTAAAGGGGTAGCCCGCCGCACAGCTAATCCGTGGATCAGATGTGCTGCAGCTGCCTCTTTGAAATGCCACTTTGAAGTACCCCTTCCTGCCCCCCCCCCCGGTTCTGGGGAAATGATGCTGGGAGCCTGGGATCAGCTGGGGAGTCCAGCTGACCTCGGGCTCCACGGAGGCCCCTTTGAAAGGCGTAGAGGCGGCATTTTAAAGGGGTAGCCCGCCGCACAGCTAATCCGTGGATCAGATGTGCTGCAGCTGCCTCTTTGAAATGCCACTTTGAAGTACCCCTTCCTGCCCCCCCCCCCGAGGCAGCAAAGAGTGGTGTTGGGAGATATCGACTAGTGGACTAGTCAAAATACTATCCGATAAGCAAATACTTATCGGATAATCAACTAGTCTTTTACATCCTTACTCTACGGAGGGCTGAAGAACAAGTGGCTAAAGAAAATGTAGTCTTCTCTCTACTCCCACAAGGCTATGTATCTTCCTCCAGTAACTGTCCATCTTTAGGCCACATGGATAAAACATTTGAGGGCAGGATGAGAAGCTGTATTCAGCTCAATTCCTGGATTGCGGTCTGTTCAGTTCAGGACTGTATTAAAAAATTTTGATTTTTTTTTTTTAAATATACCAAAAGGATGCCAGTTTGGAAAAGTGATTCCTCCTCTTCCCTCTTTAAAGTAACATAGTTAATTCTAGTTAATGTCGTTGCTGGAATCAGTTGAATAGCTTTTGTCAGATTTAGAATTTAACTGTGTTATACAGAGGGAGCGTAGATGAGGTATAAATCAACACTTGTATTCCCCTCCCAATAATGTATAAAGGCTACATTTCATTCATTTTTCTTAAAAAAAAAAAAAATCTTGAACATCATTTAAATAATATGAAAATGGTGTCCAAAATCTCTGTTTTTATAGGCAGCTATCTAAAGATAATCAAAATTTGGGACTAATAATTTGAAAGGGGGGGGGAATCCAAAATTGTACCATCCAGCCAGAGAGTCCATGTAAACATCCTTACACACACACACACACACACACACACACACACACACACTGCTTTTATCAAGTAGCTAAATTTAAGTCAGTAGCTTCTCAGGGAATACAATTACTGACCCAATCCAGTTTCACAGACTTCCTGCTTCCTGGGAGGTTAATTTGTACCGTCCTTTGGGCACTATTATCATAATAGCTAACATTTTGAGTAATAAGACTGACTGACTTATTTTTTTATTTTAAATTGAAATAGTGGTTCTGCCATGTGCGTGTTTTGGACTTTCCCCTTCTTATTGTGAACCAAACAAAAACAAAGTGAAGAAACTCAAAAGTAAAGACTGCTTTTTACAAAACTCCTTTGCTTTTCATTGTGTCTGATGCAGCAAGACTGAAAGATGAATGAAATGTTGACATGGACTTCAGACTATTTCTGTCTCCATTTTAATCCCTCTGTTCCTCCATATAGCCAATACTGTTCTAATGTGACCAGAGAGATTGCCTTACTATGAGACACTTACCTTTCTGGTATGAAATGTTTTGCTTCAGCAGTCTACTCAACAGAGCATTCACTAAAATAATTCTGTTCAAATTCTGCACCCATTGTCTTAGTTCTTGAGCATCTGAGGTGGTGCAGGTTGGAACATTCCCTTTGGACTGCACAGTTGGTTTAATACAGAGAGAGTATTTCAGTCTGATTATTTTGTACTTAATAGAGTTGTGTAGAGATGAGTAGGTCCTTTCTATGGAGAATTTCAATATTGAGAAATTTTGATTTCATTCCAATTTGGAATAAAAATTAAAAATGTCAAAATTATCTATGGAATGGAAAGCTCTGGGTTCCCTGGCATAGGTGGGCTACCTCTTAGCTAGAAACACTGGAAGCTGTGTGGTCCCTGACTGAGGGATGGCTCCCTGCTGGGAAGTCCTTACAGCTTCACTATGCAGGAGCCCAGCAGGTGAGCTGCTGAAGAGTCTGGAATCAGGGGTTCCCATAGCTTACAGGCTTCTGGCTTCCCATCAGCCCACCGGCAGGAAATTGTGATTTTCATTGATTTGACCAAAGCGTTTGACACGGTCAACAGGAATGGGCTCCGGAAAGTACTTGGAAGAATTGGTTGTCCTGAAAAATGTATCAACATTGTTCGGGCTCTACATGATGGGATGCTTGGTTGTGTCCTTGACAATGGAGACACATCAGCATCTTTTGAAATATCAAACGGAACAAAGTAAGGATGTGTCCTTGCTCCTCTCTTGTTCAACATCTACTTTTCAATGATGCTGTTAGTTGCTTTTAAGGACTGCATGTTGGGTTTCGAACAGATGGCAGTATTTTCAATCTCCAGAGACTCCAGGCTCACACTAAAGTGGTTACTACAACTATTTGTGACTTTCTGTTTGCCGATGACTGTGCATTGCTGGCTCATTCAGTGAAGGATGCACAGGAGCTTTTTGATCGCTTTGTTACTTCTGCTCACTGTTTTGGATTCACAGTGAGCCTCAAGAAGACAGAAGTTATGTCTCAGACTGTCTGGAAAGAGCCCGGCACTCCAGTGATTACTGCTGCTGGTACGGTCCCTAAGGCTGTTGACAAGTTCTGCTACCTGGGAAGTGTACTGTCCTCTAGCATAAATGTGGATCATGATGTATCTGCTTGACTAGCGAAAGCTAGCGCTGCCTTTGGAAAACTGACCAAATGCCTATGGAATGACTATGGTATTAAACCGCTATCTTGGTATGGAGTTTATCAGGGAGTTGTCCTGAATGTCCTGTTGTATGGCTCGGAGTCATGGACAATATATCGTCGCCATGTTTTGAAGCTCGATCAGTTCCATATGCATTGTCTGAGGAAGATTGCCCATGTGAACTGGTGGGACAAAATTCCTAATACGGAGGTTCTTAAACTGTGTGGTGTCACGGGCATGGAAGCAATGCTTATGAACAAACAGTTTCACTGGACTGGTCATGTTATGAGGATGGATGATACACGGATACCAAAGATGGTCTTTTATGGCCAGCTTGCTCATGGAAAGTGCTCTATCAGTGGTCAATATAAGCTCTATAAAGACATCTTAAAGGCCAATATGAAGTAATGTGGCATATCTCCCAAACTCTTGTCCTGGCGACAAACCATTGTACAGGTTCTTAATTGCTTTGAGTGTCAGCGTATCCAGGCATTGCAGGAAAAGCGTAGGATCCGAAAGGAACATACAGCTCCTGCAGCTGGCAGCTTTTTATGTGACATCTGTAATCAGCTCTGCCAATCAAGGATTAGTTTACTTGCTCATCAGAGGCATCATAGAAGATGAGATCCACTGATCAACGGCTCAGTCAAAGAAGAGATCAGAGCAAGTGGCTAAAGAGGATGCAGTCCTCAAAAAAACTATCTGCTTTCTGCCTGCAGTTTCTGTTGAATGTTTTTGTTTCAGATTGGCATTTTGTATCACTAAAATATTTGCTTCCTGTAAGAATTTCTGACCCACTCCAATATTTAATTTTAAAAGTAATATGTCAACAAACGTTTTTAGGACTATTGTTCCAGTAGCAAAATTCTTCTTCTTTAGTTATTGTTCAGTTTGGTTTTTCCAATGATAAGGTCATATTCTCTGGAATTAATTTTTATCTTCTGGCCTGCTTTTTATGGATCTTTGTCTGTGTATAGGATGTAAGATTTGTTAACGCACAAATTTTGGATCAGGTTCCAGTTGCCTTTGGCATAGTGAAAAATGTGAAGATCTAACAAAACACTTTTCTCTTGTAGTCATGCCAGTCATTGTAGTCATTGTCTGTTCAAAAGATGTGAATTACCGAATGATTCTGTTAATAGTAATTACAAATTCTTATGAGCTGGTCGCTGATTAAAGAGTTCCATGTTAACTTTAATGGTATAATACTCTGTCCATCAGCACACAAAAGTGTAGGTAGGACTGTCATCTAATTTCATAAATGATTGCTGGACTTATCATCACTAGCTTATCTGGAATTCAATGACTCAATCACCATAAAATGATTATGATCCTAGATGCATTTAAACTGAAAAGATGTGTTTGTTCACAATGTGTCCTTATATTTTTAGGCCTCGGAGTAGAGGAAAAACTGCAGTGGAGGATGAAGACAGCATGGATGGGTTGGAGGCAGCAGAAACAGAAAACACTGTGGAAACAGGTAAGGAGACATACACTATCAGCATTGTCATCTTGTCATTTCTCTTTTAGAGGTGTGTGCATGTAGTTATGCAGGAAAATAATCTCTTGCTTTAATATGACACCATGAAACAGGTGTTTATAAAAACGGAAGACTGCATTTTCTACCTTTTAAGAATAGTCTAAAGGGAAATTTTAAATGTTCTTTTGGTAATTCTACCACTCTCTAACAGAAATAAAATACAGTAGCAGTCATTTGTGTATTATATGCTAAAATACAATGTTATTCGTTGCCCTACAGTAATAGTTAACTAAGGAAATTATACCACAGGGATGGCCAATGTTAGTGCTCTCTGATGCTGTTTGGGGGAAACAGATCAATTTTCTAGTCCTGTTGTAAATATTTACATTGAGGTAGTACCCAAAGGCCTTAATCAGGAGTCAGACCCCATTGTGCTGGGTGCGGGACAGATATAGAAAAGATGTAATCCCTGGAGGATTTCTAGTCTGAAGACCAAAACAGAGATGAATTAAAACATATAAATGAATGGGTATGATGAAGAATTTGCACAGCTTTCTTAGCTTCATGTATGTAGTTCTTGGAAATCTGTTTAGGCTGTGATTACCAGGCAGGATTTTGTAGCAATATGACAGAGATGAGCCTTAAAAAGGCATGTGAAGGAAGGAAGAGAATATGGATTTTTTAGGGGAGCTTTTTCCGTACATGTTGGACAGAGTGAAAGAAAGCACAGCAGTGTTCAAGGGAGCAGCTGACTGGTGGGCAGGAAAGGCTGGGAATGCTCTGAGTGTAGGCGGGTGTCCACCTCTCAGTGAGTTACTAGATCAGCTAGGGAGAGTGAAGTTAAGTTGTGAAGGACCTTAAAGGTAAAGACAATACTCTTGTATATGATGTAGACGTTATGGGGAAGCCAAGGGAAGGACTTGAATGGCCAGAATAAGGAGTCCTCTTAGTAGCAGTATTTTTAATAGACTTTGGTAAAGCAAAGTTACAGTTGTCAAGGCCATAAAACAGGAAGCTGTGATAGGGCATGAAATTATGAGGACGTGGATAAGAGATTTAGCTGTGTCATCTGGTATCTTGCTTCCCATTTGCTAAGAGTTACCAAGTATTGAGGAGGCTTCATGCTCAGCCTGTAGGTTTCAGGGCGAGCTTTAAAGTATTCAGCAATAATCCTTATTGATAAATGGTTTGAGAATGCAGAATGAGTTCATGTAAATATAAACATGTAATGTGACCTTTAGTAACACACTCCACTACTCTGTACCTCTAAACTGCGTTCTTCTCTCTCTTGTCTATTTACAACGTGAACCCTTTGAGGCATGGGCTGTCTCTTGATATATGTTTATATCCTATATAAATGTAATTCTTCTTCGAGTAGTGTCCCCGTGGGTGCTCCACTGTAGGTGAAGGGTCGCCCTGAGCCTCAGATCGGAGCTTTCTATAGCAGTTTCCCCTGTTGAGTCACGCATGCCCAGGAGGCGTCTCGAGCCCTTCCCGCCTCCTGAGGAGTGTGACTCATCCCCCTCCCTTTCAGTTCCTCGTCTCCGCCCGAGTAATTTCGACTCCGAGCAGAGGGGAGGTAGGGAGGGTGAGGCGTCTCGAGCCCTTGCCGCCTCCTGAGGAGTGTGACTCATCCCCCTCCCTTTCAGTTCCTCTTCAACCTCCCTCGCCTGTGGACGGAGCAAACAGGAGCTCCCTGTCAGACTCTCTGACTACCTTTTTTCTCCCTAGTTTAGTTATAGTTCTTTCCCCTGATATCCAAGTTACCTTCCCTGTTTCTTTTTAAAAGAAGAAAAAGAATTTTTAGTAATAAGGGAAATACACTTACCCAACCCCCCCCTCCCCCCCTCGGGGGGGCTTGAATCACCTCAGACCGGGTCTCAGAGATACCGGAGTTTTCACAGCTCTTTAACACAGAGAAGAAAGAACAGATTTAAAAAAAAAAAAAAAGAAAGAAACCAACACGGACTGACGACAAGAGCAGGAAAACTAAAAAAAAAACAAAAAAAAAAAAAAAAAAAAA